GAGGTTGATACGGTTGTGTAATTTCGATGCAAAACCATTTTGGTCGGTGCAATTCCTCTAGCGCGGCGGCGCAGATAACGCAGAAAAATTACGGGTTTAATTGGCCGGACGTTCGAACGCGTCGCGAGATTATGGTCGGTGATTATTTTTATATGAATTACAACTGTCCTTATCGAGGCAACAACTGCGTAAACACTCAGAAGTGCACCGCACTCTCCTCGAGATACGCTCGTAAAGGCCCGACAAGTTTCTCGCGTTTTTCGCATGATCGACGCCGGAGATATTACTCGGGCGATACTGAAATATTTCTTTCATTGATCTATCCACGAGGCCGAGTTTATCTGGGGTTTCGGAGGTTTCCGTGGACAACAGAGTCGCCATAGTTGCGATACATTCGATGCGAAACGCGAGAGCTCTCAAAGCGATGTTTCATCTCCGGACGCGCACGATTGCTGCTTCGTTTTTCTGCGAACATCGAATCACTCTCTGCAAGAATTAATTGAGCCGCGCTGAAATTTTATCACTCGCGATTGACGAAACTGCGATCGACAAATAAGCTGATTCGACAGTTGTTCTGGCAGACGGTTTTCCAGCATTCCCGTTGTTTCTGCGTTTCAACAAATTCATAATAGTTTCGATTAGAATTATTCATTTATAATTAATAAAACAAATCTCTGTCATTTGAATGGCGTCACCGTCTAAGCAATAATTTTTACTTTTTTAACAAGCTGAACATGCAATGTTATTTTTGCCGTGAAAGAAACGTGAAATTTTATTTTCTGAAATAATATCTGCGAGCAGTGGCAACAGCATCTTTGTAATTCACGAAACAGATTACTGTCGTTTTAATAGCGCACCTAGCCGTCCACCAAATCATTTTCACAGTGTTAAGAAAACAAGCACGAAATTTTATTTGCTTTATGAGCACCATTAATTGTCATTGTCCGCAATAATACCTGCGTGCAGTAACAACGGCATCATTATAATTAATGGTACAAATTACCGTCATTCTAGTAACGTAGCTGTCGGAAAAGAATTTTTACATTTTCATCAAAATAGAAACGAAATGTTGTCTGTGATAATAACAGCGAGCAGTAACAACGGCATAATTGCAATTAATGAATCAAATTACTGTCATTCTAACAACGTATAGCTGCCGTTGTTAAACAGTTTTTACATTTTAAACAAAACAAACATGGGATTCGATTTTCCGTAAGAGCAAAATGCTATATCTGATACATTTTCAACAAATATAAAAGATATAAAATTTTGTTTCCGATAATATCAGGGAGCAATCGCTACAACATATTAGTAATGAATGATACGTGTAATCGTCATTTAATTACTACAACTGTCTAACCATAGATATCTACAATATTTCGTATACTTTTAATTACATTTCATTGGGTTCATTTCGAAGGAAACAATTTCTGGGAAACATGAAATTTCGTGATTTCATGATCTATAACGGTCTCGGCGACCGCCTGCGACGGTATATTTGTAATTAATGGGACGTGTAAGTGTCGTTTGATTGCCGTATCTGTCTAATAGTGAATAACTCGCGCGGTCTCCGACAGGGCCGTGGCGATTTTATTGAATAAAGTGAAAGGAAAATGTCACCCATAAAAATAGAAACTGCCGTCCATGGTAGTACGTCGATGTAAACACATTAATAGCGTTTAATTCGTTCCGAGGCATTATCGTTATATTTACGGGGCACTGACTTCCCAGACTCTCGGTTATTGTTACGTATCGAATGAGCCGCAGTGAAATCCGGAGTTAATTACTACTGGTCCACGATGTGGAAATTTCTTCTCTCCGATTGGAACTCGCTCGGTTTATGCAACGGAGCAACGACGACGACGACGACGAGGACGACGCAATGGCTCGATGTTACTCTTTCCTTTCTTTTCATTTGTGCTTCTTCTGGATTCACTATGACTTTCTAAATGCCACGGATGATTGAAGTGGCGGTGCTTTACGTAAAATCACTGCGGAGTGTAATTTTCTAGCTGACTTTCTTTCATCGTTGTTTTGCGAGGCGTAAAGATTCAGCGCGATACATTAATTAGTTTCGAATCGAAGTGCCAGTGAACTTGTGCGTTAGAGAAATGCGGTGCGATTCTACTCACGATCTCCGAGTGTTTGCACTGATTTATACGCCACTTTTCTGTGGTAAACAGTTTTCAATTGCAGACAATTATTGTAGACTTTTTTATAACATTTCAGCTGTTTTCGTGTATGTTTGAAAATTGAAACTTGCGTGAACTATGATTTTCTTAGAATCTGAATGTACCGAATATTGTTTCGTTAATTTAGCTGTGCTTGTTGCTAATATCGTTATATTTTTCGTCATTTATTGTCAACAAGAGATTATTGTGGTTATATTAATTGAATGTGCAGAAAACTTATGGTTAAATTCTTTTATATAAAAGATGTAAGACATGAGTAAAATACTTCATTCTCTTAACAAGATAACGACATTGTTTCAAGTTGATTTGTCTTCCAATCTTTATCATAACAAATGAATACTGAAGAATGGCCATAAACATTATTGCAACAGCATCACATTGTTTTCTTCAGACGAAATTGTTCCAGTAAGATTCTCATTCTATTCACTTAGCGATGCTTAAAAAAAGGCTAAAAAGAGTTTTCGCATCGTATTTCACAAAACGAAGTCAATTATAATTTAATTCTGGTTACACTTCTCTCTGATCTGTATTCGATAAAACTAACGAACACCATAAAAACAGTCGGTGAAACCGGAGCATTTTAAAGCATTCAATCGAACTCTGCGTTTTCTCCAGTTTTAATAAGCGAAACGTGAAGCCGACCGGAACAGTGGAATCGTTTCAATCGTTTCAATCGTTTCGGTTACAAACTAAAGGGTTCCTCTCATAAAAGAAATAAAAATCCAAGTAAATAAAGGAATGTTCTTGGTAATGAAGGCAAGAAGAGATCCGTCGAAATCCATCAGAAAAGATCGTAGTTTCTGGGCCAAGAGCGTTCCGCAGCGTTTAACACGTTGACTGCCGATTCAGCGTCAATTAAAGTCCCACGAAATCGAATTCGTTTGTCACCTTCTGGACACACTTGTTCAAATTTACACAGAGAGAAAGTCGATCTAATGTGACGAGTATTTATAGCAACGGTACGTTCTTCGTTTTCTCTTCTTTAACACTGGAGATACTAAACACCGATTAGTCCAAGGTTCGTGAATCTTGATTTTTACACGAAGAAAGTCAAATTGATAATAACACCCATCATCCACGATTTCTCTTTGCTCTGTCTTTATTCTATTTCAATGTCGCAGTCGTCGAGAAATCAACGATTACCTTCTGTTCCCTCTTTATTCTAAATTCTATATCAAGAAGAAGTCAACGACTCCACTTTGTTACATCTTCCCTAACAATAAAAATAACAAATCGACTCGAAACATTACACCAACAAAGAAAAAACATGGAGTCTAATCCTTTTGACACTTCCCTATCGTTACACGTGCGTTACAATCTCCAGTTTCGCACAAAGAAAGTAGCGTGACCACAATCTACAATCCCAAAAGTTGGCGCAGTTGTCAAGAAACCAATGACACACTTCAGACTTTCCATTTATAATTATTACAAAAATCCTACAAGAAACCAGCTACACACTTCAGACTTTTTATTTAATTATTACATACAACGAAGACATTCCATTCAATTATTACAAAAAATTACAACAAAGCAGCTTTACTTTAGACTTTCCATTTAACTATTACAATGATCTACAGCAAAACAGCTACACTTTAAGCTTTCCATTCAATTATTACAAAGTCCTACAACAAAGCAAATTCACTTCAAACTTTCCATTCAGTTACTACAAAGTCCTACAACAAAGCAGCTTTACTTCAGACTTTCCATTCAATTATTACAAAGTCTAACAACAAAAAACAGTTACATTTCAGCCCTTCAATTCAATTATTACAAAAACCTACAACAAAGCAGCCTTACTTCAGACTTTCCATTTAACTATTACAAAGACCTACAGTAAAATGGCTACACTTCAAACTTTCCATTCAATTATTACAAAGTCCTACAACCTGTCTCTTATACACATCTGCAGCCTTACTTCAGACTTTCCATTTAACTATTACAAAGACCTACAGTAAAATGGCTACACTTCAAACTTTCCATTCAATTATTACAAAGTCCTACAACAAACCAGATACATTTCAGACTTCCCATTACAATGTCCTACAACAAAGCAGCCTTACTTCAAACTTTCCATTTAACTATTACAAAGACCTACAGCAAAATGGCTACACTTCAAACTTTCCATTCAATTATTACAAAGTCCTACAACCTGTCTCTTATACACATCTGCAGCCTTACTTCAGACTTTCCATTTAACTATTACAAAGACCTACAGCAAAATGGCTACACTTCAAACTTTCCATTCAATTATTACAAAGTCCTACAACCTGTCTCTTATACACATCTGCAGCCTTACTTCAGACTTTCCATTTAACTATTACAAAGACCTACAGCAAAATGGCTACACTTCAAACTTTCCATTCAATTATTACAAAGTCCTACAACAAACCAGATTCACTTCAGACTTCCCATTAAAAAGTCCTACAACAAAGCAGCATCACTTCAGACTTACCAGTTTACACAAAAGTGCTACAACAAACCAGTTTCTCCCATTGTCTAGTACCTCCAGCGTCAGTTCTACAAAGACGTTAAAGCAAACGATTGTCAAAGGTGCCGAAGCTTCTCGAGCCAACCGTACGAATAAATCCATCGAAAGAGCCTGCCATCGGGCAGACGCCGCACTCAGCATACCACGATTGACAAATCTTGATCCGAAACGATTTCACTGTGCGGTAGAGCCGCGAGGCAACCAACGTGTCTGCGGGAAACCAGGTTCCCATCGTGCGAAGCAACGCGGGAACGGCCGAACGAGCGATTCGATCGCGACGGAGTCTGGCCAGGCACCTTCTCGGTTTCCCTTTCACTCACCTATTGCAGTCCCTGGCCTTGTTGTTGACACGTCCGATCGAGGCGGCACCGGTCAAGGCGATCGCGGCCAAAACAAGGATCGCTCGTCCGAGTTGCATCGTGGCTCGTTGGTTGCGATCTGCTGCTGCGGGGGTGGTGGCGATCATGGCGGCGTGAACCGGCGGCAGTGTCCGGTGGTCGCTGGAGGACGGAGAACTCGAAGAAGGCGAGGAAGTCAGCTGGCTGGCTGCGAAGTTAGCCGGCCGATTCAAGCGGGCCTGGCTCGCTCGCGCGGCTGAATAGCGCGACGATCAGCGGACCGACTGATACGAAACGGCGCCGCGCACCAGTTACGAATAGGTACGATCGCGTTTGGCCTTCCTTCGCACAGTTCGGTTCGGTGTGCTCGCGGGTGTCTCTCGCTCGCGGACAACGGCGTCGACGAAGGAGAGCGGCCTGGTCTCGCGGATGATCGACGCGGAAAAAGAGGACACCGGACTCGCGGCCAAAGAGGAACGAATGTAAACGCCGCGAACTACCGTCGGTCCCCGCTCCGTACTCGCTTCCGACCCTCTGTACTGGACTCGCCAGGACTCGCGATCTGTTATATGAGTGTCGACGAGGCTTGATAACGGCTCGACGACCATTGGTCTGTCAGCGGTACACCCCCCGGTCCGATTGGCTGCCGATTAAACGCCGCGACGCTTATCTTGCCCGACGAAGGCGAGAGCCTTTTTGTCGGCTATTGTTTTCGTGGCTCTTCCTCTCGACGGAACCAGCCTGACGGACTGACGGACGCTATTGCTGCTGCGCGCTTGTTAGCGAGTTGAATTCGTGTTCCTGGTTTTTGCAAGTATCTTGGGTGTCCGAGGGTTTTGTTGCAGCGCGATTCGAATGATTTGTTCGGATTTGGAGACGAAGTTTCGAGGTTTACTCGATCGACGAAATTTTGTTGGGATCTGGAAAATGCAAGACGGTTGACAGAGTATTCGGTGCCATACGTGTTAAGCTTTCAATTTTTAGCTTATTTTTAAGGAAATTTTTATATGATAAGAACTGTGCGTTCAGTCAATAACGCTGAACGAGTTTATGTACGATCTTACAGTTTAATAAAATAAAAAATCGTGCTGCGATAAGAAAAATGTGTTATGTTTTACAAACAAATTTCTTATTGCTTTGTCAATGACGTAGATTGATCATTGCTCATCGAATGATCGTCAGTCCGTTATCATTATAGTCTATCAACGAAACTGAATTGTAAAATTGATTAGTTAATGTAATTATAGTCAAATGTAGATAGGTGTTTTATCATGATTCATTGTAACATACTAATCAAATGAATCTAAATTCGCATGAATCTGAATAACGCAGCAATATAAATAAACTTTTTTAAAAATGACAATGATATGCCACTTGAAAAAGTAAATAAAAATGCTCCTCTACGATACGAGGGACACTTAATTCAATTAAAAATTGTACTCGAGCCGACAAGTGGCAACTCCACCGAAAACAACGCGCCCCGACGCAATCCAGTTTACGTTGTGAATTTTTTCACAACCGTCAACAAACATAGTCGTGTGATCTATAAATAGCAACGCGGGACTGTTCTTGTTTCTATTTTTGTTATGTAAACATGGTAGCGGCTCGTTTCCCGCCAGTGTTTCGGGTTTGTGGGACACGCGCGACATGCGAAACGGGAACTCGGGCAAAAGTGAAGTATTCCCACGTGCTTACAAGATAATGCTGATCACCATGTTTCGCGCGAGGAAGGACGCGAACCGCGCAAGTTGTTTCTGCGAGCAGCGCCGGCTATTTGTTTGTTAACATAATGGGTGATAAAGCAGGCTGCTGATGTTTATGCATTATAAAACATTTTACTATGCGACGCGATAAAATACGTGCTCGTAAAGATTGCAGAGACGAATTATATACGAATTTATAGCGGACTTATGGAACACATTGTAATTAAGGATTGTAGAACTGATTTAATAAAGTTTTATCAAAACGAATTTTCATAAGCGTTTTTACTACACTTTGATGCGATTTAATACTGTGTTAGAGGATTGCAGATTTGATTGAGTAAAAGTTGAATCGAAACGAATCCTGTCAGCGTTTTTCCTATATTTTGATTTCATTCAAAATCGTGATTGAGGGTTGTAGAATTGTTTCAATGACAGCAATGGTATTGCATTGATGGCGTTGCTTTGCAGAATAACATGTCCTTGTAAACGTAAACGTTTTCCAATATTTAAACATTTTAATGAACCGTACGAAGGTTTGCAGTTGAGTTGTAATTGTCATGAATTGTTGAATCCTTCTTTAGAACCGAGGAGCTTGGGTCTAGACTATGAACGGAGACAAGTATTTCCAGGAGTATTCGTGAACAGAGAATGTGTCGAGGAAGGGGATATTTTCTTTCATAGTAACAGAACTCAGTCGTGGGGAAAAAGTCTTGAAAAGGTGGTAGCTTCTTTCACAAGAGGAAGGTTCAGTCACGGGACGGAAACGTCTTGGGAAGTCAATCCTTATGCATGACAAGAACAGAATTATTCGAGTTGAATGTAATTCTTTTGAGATCAATGCTAATGTCATAAACAGAACTTGGTCGGAACATGTTGTCTTAAAGCTAGAACATCGCGTTCGATACTAAATAGCTAGAACATGGTCGGAAATGCATGGTGTTCTATTAGAAAACTGATTGAATTCGCGACAATGGTGATTATTTAACGTTCGAATATTTTATACAATATTTTAAATACTAACGCTGACAACGTTCCAATAAAAAGAGTCGCGATAATGATCAGATACTCGATGCGTTCGATACGCGATCAAGGCTTCAAGTATTCGAACGTTTTTCCAACTGAAAAATACGATATCGCATGTAAATATACTCGAAGTGGGTTAATTTGCTCGTTTATGTGTAAAGTAGATTACCCATTTATTGCGTTAAAGTAAATAAAATTTCGTTTACTCAACTCGAGATGGTAAAATATAAATGAAATCGGAATTTAACGGGTTTGTTTTATAATTGACAGGAACACGAAATTGAAGCGCACCTGTCGCGAGCATAAGGCATCGTAATTAATTAATTTCAGAATCATCGACAAATTGGCTTTTTCGCGTTTGGCCTTAGTCGCGTATTCAGCATTAATAATCTGTATTGAAAAGTACAAGCTTCGAAGCGATACATATATGTATTCCCGACGAATTTTCTCGTAATTAATTAAAATACGCCATTAAAAAGTAGGTACGGTGTACTTAAAGTGTCTTTAAGTAAAGGAATCTTTGATACGTGAAACCGGATATTTATTAAGAAGTAAAAGGTGGAAGGAAAGCGAATTTTTCCTTGACCTTTGCCATAGTATTGGTGCACTCGCAGCATCTTTCGATCTCTCATCGACGGAATTGTAGCAACAGTTACTCGTCAATTATTCGGTCGTTTCACGCTACTTCGACTACAAAGACGACTTTTTTTCCGGCAAACAGTACTCGTAGCGTTATTCTTCCGTAAAATGAAGGCTAATAGAGAACAATTAAGGATGAAAGGAAGTATTCAAGACATTTGTTACATTTTAATACTTCGCGGATAGAACGTCAGGAACCGATTGCTTCCTGATATTACTCGCTTATTATTCACTGAACATTATTGCTACAGTTTTATGTATTTCTAATTCACCGAAATACTTTGCTGAAACTAATCTAGCGAATACTTTCCAATTCAAATTAAACCTACTAAAACTGACTGGCGCGAGTTGCTCTGTAAGAATGACAAAACTGAATTTATTTAGACTATTCATCATTTCTACTGTAATGCATCCCTGGATTAACAAATTCATTCAATTATTTTCTGCGAAAGTCTTTAATAATTTCAACGACTTTATAAAGAATTACGTGAGACCGGACATTTTCATTTGCATGATAGATTCAGGTGATCCAAAATACTTGCAATTACTTAATGAAAATCTATCGTTAGTTCAGAATAAAAATGTTCACGACTAACCCGTAACTTTTCAACATACATATTTGTATGTATCGAACAGTTTTGTATACGTTATTTACATGGCCAAAAATTTTAATAAATTCTCATAAATTTCAATAAATTTCAATGCATTTTAAAAAATTCTATACAAATTTTATGGGTAAACTGTTTCAACCTTCTCCATGCAGAATGCATATTGCACTGAATAGAATCCAGGAAATGCATTTTTTGCACCGTCTATTGGATCGCGGTGTTAACTGGTGATTAGCGTTCTTATATCTCATTGTATGTAAGGTGCACCGTAGTACTGTTTCGCGGGGAATGATCAACTCGTGTATCCGGCGTTGAATCATTGTTCTTAAACGACCCACGGTTGCATCGCGGTTGTATCTTTTTCATTTTCATGAATAATTCAGATTACCTCGAGGTGTGGCGAGCAACGGGAAGACACCAGATGCAGGGAGCAAAATGGGAATATCGTAGTTTCGTTTAGCAATCACGGCGTGCAGAACTTTCTTGCGAAACTTGCCTATGTGAGCCAGGGGAGTCCGGTGTTTGCTGAACAACCCGAAGGGGCTAACGTTCACGGAAGAATCGAAGCTTTCCGTGAATGCGACGACAGAACCACTTCTACGATTCTTTGCTCTCTCTCTTTTCTGCTTGATTCGTTGCTTCCCGAAACGGCATTCGCACGTTTAATAACTTCCCGAAGAAAAATCATGCGTTGACAGGAGCTGGAAGTTTCGGTACTTTGTTTCGCAAGCTACATCAACACGTCAGCTATCAATTATTTGGCTACCTTCGTGGCTGTTTCATTGGATGACTACTTCACGAATTTCGAGGAACGTTTAGTAAAGAGAAGCGAAAAATTGTGGACTATGCTTCTGAAATTTTGTATAAACCTTTTTAGAAAATTTTATTTTTCAACGTCAGTTTCGGTATAGTGAAAGTGATGTTGTATTTTATTCAATTGTCAGCTGATTTTTCCATTGTTGTTGCGGTTCACTAGTTTTTAATGATTCTTATTCGAACATGCAGAAAATAATTGGTCGATCATTCGTCTATGAAGTGTCAGAACTTGATTGCGGTTATTCATCGGAATTCATCGTGTCACTTTTCTGTTACACTTTATGTCGTCTTTCCTTTTATACTTTATTTTGTCTTTCTTTTTTTACTTTATTTCATCTTTCTTTTTATACTTTATTTCATCTTTCTTTTTATACTTTATTTCGTCTTTCCGTTTTTACTTCATTTCGTCTTTCGTTCTTAATCATTTTATCCTACTGTGAATAAAATTCGAGTAAATTACGAGGATAGCGTTTAATGTTTGGAATGTGATCGTTTAATCGTTTTCGTAACGAAGCGAGCGAAACAATTGTTTCCTATAGCATGCATAAGGACCACGTTACAGGTTTATTGCTTGAAATTGAGTTCCGCTCTCGCAGCAATTTATAATTCAACTTTTAATCGACATCTCTCTACGTAATGCATTCTACGTAATGTTCGGGGCCAATTTGAATTTATATAAGCAGTCTTGCGACATTGTAATTGCTGACCATTTATATTCACGATTTTTTGGAAAGGTCAATGAATAAATTTTGCATATTTTTTGCACAGAAATGTATCGAGATTAAGTAGAGTTAATCAAGGAAAGCTCCAATGTAGCTCGTAGAATGTATTTGATCGTTCCACTACTAACTCGACAGTACGTTTGATAATAATACTTTTGAAGCTATCATTTTCATAAATCTTTTTATGAAATCCCAGAAGAAGAATAAAATTTTTTACGAACAAAATTTCTTCAAAACGTGCGAACACCATGCAGAATAAAACAATCGCAGTACAATAAATACGCAAATGGTCGCGCGGACGACGATAAAAACCGTAACATTTTACGCGGTGAATAATTTACTGTCAATCAAACGTTCTACAGTTTGTCAGCGACAAATGCTTCACCGTTATCGTCTCGGTGAAATTGTC